TGTTGAACAGCAGTTATCGATCTCACAAAAGTCCTTTTAAATTTCATCTGTGTATAGATGGTAAAAGAATTTACAATTTTGTTGTTAATTGCAATTAAATTTTTAGAACATTAAAGTTCTGAACATGAAAAACATAGTCTGTGTTTTTGAGGTCCCTTAAGTGGTTTAAAAGTCTTGATTATTTATTCCTCTGTGTGAAATCTGCCAATGCTTGAACTTAACTAGTTAATGTGAACAAGTAAAATTGCAAGCTTAAAAATAATTAATATTTTACAATTTTTTTTTTAAAGTCTGTAACTCACAGGGCAAATTGACATCCCAGTCTAGTACTTGCATAATCTTGGTAAGAGACACTTGACCTAGTGAAAAATCAAGGCGATAAAACAGCTGTATCTGTGATGCTGCAATGCCATGGAGTTTGTACACATCAAAATGGTTCACAATTCCATTGTCAGGTGATTTGCTTATGTGAATGATGTGAAGGAATGGGATAATGGTAATATGTGGGTCATTTTCCACAGCAAAATACTTCATTAGTTCTTAGTTCTTCACTTATCAACTCTTCAGCCAGCATTCTTTTCACAACAAAACAAAACAAAACAAAACAACAACAACAAAAAAAAAAAACCAGCTCAGTCTTTTTATCCTAGTCACTTACAAAGCCACTGAAAGATACCATTTTGTTATGTAAGTTAACTGCTCAGAAACTATGAAAGGATTATTGCTGATTGAATAAACGGAAAAACTTCCTCAGTATGCACATTCATAAGCAAATATAATCCAGAAGCAAATAACAATGTTGTACTTCCATTTTTTTAATGACATTTGTCATTTCCCAAAGGCTCAATTTCAGGAACCACTAAGCTGAGCAGAAATTAGCAGTTTGCACTTGTGTCTCTGAATTGTGAATGTTCAGTTTCAGCAGGACCAGGTTTAGCTTGTAGCAAAAGGGTAATTTTGATTTGGTGTGTGTCAAAGAAGTGTTTTGAAGGTCTGATGTTTATAAATCAGCTCTGCATAAAGAAGTTTCTCTATAAATACAGAATTGAACTTTTGGGCTTTTACTTGACTAGTGCTGTTTACTGAATTTTCTCCATCAACATCTACACACACTAGTATTCTTTGATCAGTAATTTGGCTGCACAGATGCTTCTTTCTTTCTTATTGAAGTCTTAACTCATTCTCTTCCACTGGAAGGTGAAGGTGTGAGCAATTTTATTCAGTTAGAGTTTTGATTTTGCATCCTTTGCACCTACTCTGTGCTTTGTGATTTTACTTCCTCTAAAATGATCACTTTTTATAGTTATCTGTTCTAACTCATGTTCTTTTGAATTCAGTTCCCCAACTACTTCCTTTTGAGCTGTACTTGAAAGGCCCTGAAGGTTGAAGTCTTTTAATACTTTTTTTTTTGTATTCATTCATCTCTCACTAGGATTTCACTCATCTCAAAGTAGGCCATGCCTACTGTATGTCTGGGAATACAGTTATTAGAACCTCCTCTTATTTTCGTAAAAAAAAAAATGTTTTATTTTAATATTTTAACATTGTAAATTATAAAATACCTAAAATATATTTTTTGCATTAAAAAAATCATGTTATGTGCTTTGAATTTGATTTATATAACTATTTGTTTGGTCATATCATTAGAAGATATGTTTGTGGTAATATTTCTTAAGAATATGATCTAACTCCATGATCTAACTTCCCATCAAGTTGCTACAGATTTGTATACAGTAAATTGAAAAAAGGAATTTTTTTATAATGMTGATAATTATTTTTTATTTCCTGTACAATCACTTTTTTTTTTTCTTGATCCTGCTGTTTAACTGCTGGAACCATATCAGTAAATGCCAGTTGGCTGATCTTTTTCACCTTTCTTACTAAGACCAAGATAATTGAAAGTGTCTGCTTTTATTCCACAATGTAATAAAGGGARTTGGAGATATTCTTGAACTTCTTGAAAGTACTTTTTTTAAGGATAAAGCATTTACCACAAGAACTTTTCTAGTTCTGCTTTTGAGGCTGTATGAAAAGAAAAAAATATATTAAGATTGCGTCTTCAAATAGCAAAAGGAGCATATTTGCTTTGGTTTTAGCTTGAACTATACTTTATTTAACTATGTCAGTTTATCTTTAATTCTACACGCCTGGATTTCCAGTCTGCTTGAAAAACTTGGTCTTTCTTTCCAAGTTTCTGTTTTCTTAGGGAAGCAATGCCTTCTCATCTCTTAAAAAAGTGATGYTGAAAGTGAGGAAATACTAAAGCTGGGTTATAACCAGCTGTCATTTAACTTTTATTATCAGTCTTTGCCTGATATTAACTTTTGCACTTCTGATTGATTTAATGTCTGACTCATACTAGAGTGAAGTTTTGTTCATCTTTGCATTGATAATGCTTTTTCAAACATTACAGACATGGTCTTCTCAAAAATAAAGACTGGCAGTTCTGCATTCTGCTCATTTACATCTTCATCTAAAGGGCCCTTGGCATTGAAAGCATTTCCTTTTACTGATGAAAAAGATGGATGGAATCTGGAAACACACTTTGATTTCAGATGTTCAGCTCCCAGAGGGTTTCGTTGTAGATGGGAATGAGGAATTATTTTGATTAACAGAAGGCTTGGCTATACAGACCCACTATTCTGGTCTATTAAAGGAAAGAAAACCACAAGTCATTGCTAGATTTAAAAAAACTGATTCTGCACAGCACATTTAGGAATAATWCTAGAAAAAAAAAGACATGCTGGATTTTTTTTCCTTCAGTAGTTTTCCATAACACTCAGCAGAGCTTGGTTATAAAAAATAGGGTTTTGTTGAGTTTTTTTAATGAGATCTTCAAAGCACCAGTTGTAACAAATTCATTTCACTGTTCTTTGCCAGGATGTCTCTAAAAGTTATAGATTTCTGCAGATAAAAAGCTAGGATTTTAATTCATTACTCTCAGAAATCTTCTCTTCCTGCCTTCAATACTCCATATTACTAGACTATTTTACAATTAAGGGTTTTGGAAGTGATATTGGTGGATTTTGGGTTTGTTTTGTTTTGCTTTATTTTGGTGTGGTTTGGTGATTTTGGTTTAGTTTGGGTTTTTTGTTTGTTTGTTTTTGTTTTCTTTTGCTTTATTTTGGTGTGGTTTGGTGATTTTGGTTTAGTTTGGGTTTTTTGTTTGTTTGTTTTTGTTTTCTTTTATTGAAGGTGGAGTTCAGAAAATTATTGCCAGTTTAAAGTTTACTTGGGTTTTTTTGGCCTCTTGCCTTTTCACTTTAACACTAAAAAGTAATGTTACCGACTTAATATTTATAACCTCATTCTGTTTTCAGATCCTGGTGAGATCAAGGAACAGTTAACTAAATATCATTGATTAACTGCAAAAATATCTAATAGCTGTCTTCTTTGACATTCAAAGTTTCTGAAAAGGTTTTTGAAATATTTAAATATTTAAGTAATTGAAAATACTTAATGGTATTTCAAATATTGTASCAATTAGAGTGGTGCCTCTTTTCTGCTGAGCACTTCTTACAGTGCTACTGTGAGGTATTATAGGTACAGTTTTAGGATTAGTCAGAATTTAAGACTCAGAACAAAAGAAACTGAAATATTCTGTTTTTGAAATATGGCAGTTTAACTGAGAATATTTAGTAATCAGCTATAATTAAACCAGATAGTTTCCTTGATCTTATTTTGATAGAAGACAAAKGTATCAGCTGTTTACATATTTTTATTCTGTTCTTTCACCTGTGCTGGACATTCTCTGTCAGAAAGACTTTCACGCCATAATTCTAGTCTATTTGCTTTACACAATACTCAGTAAGCCATCTTCAGAGAAGCAAAGTAATATTAAGTGTATGACAAAAGCAATGGGATTGGATGAGCCAGTAAACAAGGATGGCATGATGATTGTTCAGGGAGTGAAAAAATAAAATGGCAAAAGCCTAAGAACAAAGAGAGGCTATTTCTGTCTATTAAATGTAAATTGAGTGGTATAAATAACTCTTACTTGTGTTTGGTCCTTGTAGCTGAGAGCTAAGAGAAATGCTGATTTTATAGTGCTGTTCCCTATGTATAAATTTCTTAAGTTTTCTATTACTTTAACAAAGAACAAAGATCCCTATAATTTTTTTGCCTTTTTTTCCCCCAGTACTTTCCTTTAAAAATGCATTTTAAATTGATTATGTAAAGATTTGAGGGGTTTTTTTTTCAAATAACTTCAGTGAACATTTACCAGAATTCTATTTTTTAAAAAAATTGAAGATGATCCAAGTTTTTCAATGAAAAATCTTGGTTGTCTAATGAAAACTGTGAAATTATCATATTCAACTTTGACATAGTAATCTAAATAAAAATTTAATAGAGAAGCAGTTCAGTTTTGGAAAATTGTTACCCATATTCTGTGCCTGGATTTTAAATGCCCAGCAGGAGATACCTTAATGTCCACCACCAACACTCAACACAAAGCACATTCGATGAGAATAAAATTTTTCAGTGAGGATGAAAAATGATGGAAGGAAATTCTGAAGCTGTCGTATATTGAGATTGAGCCAGCAACTTCAGGCAATAGACTGTTATTTCAAAACTTTTAAAAGCTTGGCATCTCAATTTAAGTAATTAAAATAACCATAAAGCAAAATACAGCAGATACTTCTCTAATGTGTTTTTGTCACACAGATTTATTACATTWTTCTCATTCTCTACAAAACAACTCTTCTCCAAAATATTGAGATAAGCATAGAGGCAAATCATTGCTGAAAATTTTGGATCTGTAAATGTTTCTCATTTATGTGTAAAATTCTTCTACTGATAAGCAGAAATCCAAAGTTTCACATGATGTTGGTCCAGATTTTGATAGAGTAATGAAAATGTAAATATGAAGAAGAATTTATAATCATTAATWAAGGATTTTATCAGATATTTTGTCCTAAAAGTGTCAATTTGTGGTCATATATTTCAATGTGTTTTTATTTTTCAAAGTAATTGTACTTTATTTTATTTATGTATTTTAGGCACGGAAGGGGCAGTGTTTGGGCACTCTGTGGAGACCCCCCATATCAGAGCAGAACCTTCCCAAGATCTCAAGTAGGTGCTGTTCAAAAAGCTCTTTTAAAATCGAATATTCTCAAAAAAAAATTGTCTGGATTAAGAGAAGAATGTCTGTATAGTAATATATGTACTGTCTATTTAATGAGTCATACATTTCCAAAACACTGGTAGACTCCAATTTATTCTAATTGGTAAAAAAAAAAAAAAAAACCACAAACTCCTATCACATGAAATGTAAAATATAGTGCTTTTTATATATGACCTGCCTCCCAGATAGAATTCTTGAGAAATGTATTTTCCCTAGAGAGTGGAATATTCAAGTGTTTTTAAGGTCCAGTGTGTTCAATATTGTTCCATAGTATCAGAACCAGTGTTTGATTTTTTTATGAGCTGCTACAGAATCTATAAGTCAAGTTAAAGAATCCCAGATTCTTCTGTCAAGTGGTGCTTCTGAGTTGTTCATTTTTTGAATATTGCRCATACATTTTTCAAAAATTCATTACCGAGGCTACATTTCTAAATGCAAAAAAATCCTAAATTTTCTGTACATAGTCGCAAAAGTGGAGAAATCAGTAAATAGTAAAAGATGAAGTTTAAAACTTAGTAAGGCATCTGTAGTCTGAGAAAGAGAAAAATTAGAAATGTTTAAAGAAAMAGCTGTTGTTTGAAGTGCATGTATGTGGACATCTGAGTACTAATCTGTGATTTATATGGATGACTAATGAGAATCAGAGAAAATCGAAGGTCTTTCAATGTGTTACTTTCAGCAGAACTGGGGAAAATAGTACAGACTTTGATTCAATTCTACTATGGGTTTTKAACATTATATATCTATCCCTTTATCTTCCGAGAAGATCTTATGAGTAATTGCCTCAGAAAAGCATGGTTAAATGTGCTTCCTTACATTTACAAAGGCATTTAGAATCATTGAGCAATAGCATTGTTGCAGAAATCATTTGCAGGAAGCTGTCCATGTGGACAAGTTTGACCATTTCATGTGGAGTGTGTGAAGTAAATGACTGTGTTTGATTATTAACACTAAACATTTTAAAGTAATGTATAGCTTGAAGATCCTGCTCCCTGGATTACTGTTTTAAAAATCTTTGTCCCTTTCTATGACTCCTGTCAGTCCTTTGTGAAAAGTAATTGAAAAGGCATTTATTAGTGACAATCACCAGGTTGATACAGTCTCGAATCAGAGTTCAGCAGCAATCAAAGTAGAAAAGCTTTTCTTTTTTTTCTGGGGTTGAAAAATTTGGATAAGAGTCTGGCACTTGTCCCACTCAAAAGAATGTGGAAATCCTGCTTCCTCTACATCTTTCKAATCATTAAATAATATTAGCAGAGTGAAAAGGGTGAAAGGGTGAAAACAGGGTAAAAAAAGATAATTCTATGTCTTCAGGATTAATTTAAGTAATTAAATTAAAATCACCTCATATTGCTTCTGAAATTTACACCTGGGACATTTGCTCCTCCAATCTTTTTTTCTTCATTCGTTGCCATGATTCCTATTGTTACTTGATGTTTTCAACTCCACTACTCCTTCAGTTCATTTTTCCAAGATGGACTTCAACTAGTAAGCATTTTGCACTCAACTTTCTGCCCTCTCATTAATAATGAATTCAATTCATACTTTTTATTAAAAAAGCTGAAGAAACAGAAACCCTTGCCATTTGGTCAAGAAACCCGAGCTTACTTGTAAGTGATTTATTCTTAATGTATTCAGTCCATATTGTGCTCTGCAAATTTTCATACATATGTTCTCCTCTCTATTAGCTGGATTCCATTGTATTCTTTTTTAAAACTCTCGAGTCAATTTAGTCGTTTTTAAGTAGTGGCAGTTACAATTAGGACGTTTCAGTGGTCTGGTTCAGGAGTTCAATTACTTTTTAATGTTTTAGAATAAACTTACCCAAAGTGTCCCATAATGGTAGTGCTAAAATCACCTAGGGTATTTTTCCAAGTGCTACATCCTTGTGTCTTTGGGTGGTTCAAATTAATGGTAAGTAATGGGAGAGTAGAGAGTTTGCTGAATTAACATTATTCATTTTTTTCAATGGACACAATTGAATGTAATTTGATAGCAAATTGCATAAGTGTAAATATATTAGGCTACAAGAATTATTGAATACAGGGCTGAAAGGTAATAGAATATACATTATGTCATTAATTAATAKATAAATCATCCTATATTTTGCAAAGTGGAATATGTATTTGTGGTCAAGCAATAAACCTCAGACATCAGATTTTTTTCCCTTTTCTCCAAAATAAAATGTGTAAATCAATTCATAGGCTTGTATGTATAAAACAACTGATTATTGAACTTAAAAGATGGAATACTGACCATCTTGATTACTCTGAATGAAAAATAACTAGAAAATTTGGTTTAAGGATTTGATGCCCACAAGGATCATAGTAATTCCTGGGATTTAAGATTAATCTTTTGTGGACAGGGAGACAAAGAGAGAAAGTCGGATTCACATTAACTCCACACTTCTAAACCTTACCTCAGACACTCTTAGTTCTACAGCCAGATTTTGAGGTCTTCATATAGAGGACCTCCCTTAATATTTACTATTAAAAATGTGTTGAGTAAGAATAAGGTTTAGTCGCATCCTAATATAATTAATTCCTATGTGTCCAACCACTTTGGTCACATCTTTCTCCTTTCTTCCATTTTCAGATAATAGCTGGGAAGGTTTTGCTTTCAGACAGTGTTGTTGTACAGTCATTTGTGAAAGCTTTTGTGTTAAATCCCCAAAACTAATTAAGGATGAGTTTCATTAGTTGGGATAAGTAGCATAAAAGAATCATGCATTAGAATCAGGAAAATGAATTGTATCTTAATAATTTAATCTTCCTATTTATCTCACTACTTTTTCTCACAGGAACATGGTTAGGAAAACTAAACTGCCAATATATTTCCCAAATACTCTTTTTCGGCTAGTAGTGGAAAACATAGTTCACTAATAGGTAATATCCATGCACAAAATAGACAGACAGTAGTTAAATGCAGATAACTTTACCCTCAATAACCTCCTTAATAAGGGGATGAATTAATTTGTTGTTGTTCTCTGGAGATAACTGCAAGATCAAATTTAAAAGCTTTTTTTTTTTTTTTTTCTCTTCTATGTCATGCCTCACACAATCCTGTAAGTTAATACTGGGCATAATGAGATGAAAATTGATGAAGTGGAAGCAACCACCCAAGATAGTTGGATCCTACTTTACCTGCAATAAGAATTAAACATATCTTGAAAAGGAAGTCTGTTTCTGTCAGAATTGTCTGATGGTTTGTAAGAGACACATTTTGTGGCATTTAAGGGRTGGTATACTGATAGGTCAAAATATGTGTTCTGTGAAAGCCTGGAGACAGACAACACATCAGATATTTTGACCTTAACTTGTTAGTCATCTGAGCAGGTTGAGATTGACAAAATCACTGTGATTTTGTTCACCTATTTTTAGCCAAATATCAAATAGTAAACAAAACTTCATCAAAATGTAGAACATGCAGCAGAGTAAAAAAAAAAAAAAAATAGGTTTTCTTTGTAGGCTGTTTAAATGTCAGATTCTAGTTACTTTCAGTGTCCTTTTTGAATGAAGTGAAAATAATTACTCTTTTTGTTTTCATAATTTGTGTTAATTATTTCATTGTTTGGGGATTGTATTGACAGAAACTTGTTTGCTTTKTCTTATCACTAGCTACTGAAAATATGATTTTTTTAACATATGTGTTCATGCAAAAATAAGCATGAGCATAGTAAAATTTGGAAAATTTCCAAAAGTTTAGCTTCTCTGTTTAAATGTAAATGTGCTTATATATATATATATATATATGTATATATATATATATAATTTTAAAAGACATTGACATAAACAGAGAAGAAAGCCAGTAATAATAGGTTTTAATTGCTAGACAGATAGGACAGAGTAGGAACAAAAGGTAACTGGGTATGGCTCTTAAATTGAAAGAATAATTTGCTTTATTGTTCAGTGATTATGATTATATTTGACATTGGAAAGGAAAAAGGCTGTTTTAGGAACCAAGATATGAAGGACAAAACTATTACTATCACAAGAGATAGAAAGTCTATTGAGTTTCATATGGTTAATTTGGGATGCTGAAGCCTCCTTTTGTCCAGGCTAAACKGCCCCAACTCCCTCACCCATTCCTATGTCTCACAYTGTAAACCCTTCACCTGCTCCATTGCCCTTCTCTGGACTCACCCCAGTTCCTCAGTGTCCCTCTTGCAGTGAGGGGCCCAGAACTGGACACAGATTTGAGGTGCAGCTTCACCAGTGCCKAGTACAGGGGGACAGTCACAGCCTTGGTGCCCTCCTGCTGGCCACACTGCTGCTAATCCAGGCCAGGATGTCATTGGCCTTCTTGGCCACCTGGGCACACTCTGGYTCATGTTCAGCCACTGTCACCAGCACCCCCAGGTCCTTTTCTGCTGGGCTTATGATTATGTTTGCTCTATGATTATGTCATGTCATGGCTTCAGGAACGCACAGATGGGCTCCAAGCACAGCTGTCTCAGGCTGCTCAGGGTTATGACAGTAAATATATTACCCTGTCAATCTCATCTGAATGCCCATATAAAGCTTGTGGCAGTAGAAAGCATTTGCACAGTGCTGAGTTAATGAAAGTCATGGCAACATCACACTGCGATTAACGGGCAGACAAGGATCTTTGTTTCCATCAAACCCACTCAGGTCTAACATGGCCAGTGCTCAGAGCAYTAGAGGGAAATGTTCAAGATTTCAGTAGGTGCCCTCCTGCATGCCCTTGGCTCCTGCAAGGCTTGTCTCAGCTGTGGTTGCTCTTACACTGCTTCCAGATCAAAGCTGCTGCTTAATTAATTATAATTTCACATAGGTCCTGTCTAGAATTAGGTGCAACAGCACACAATTTTTTCAAATTTTGCATTTTTACAGATACTGCAGGTAGAAGTGTTTCACTGTCCTTTAAAGTGGAATTTGATTCATTAAATTCATGAATTTAAATGGAATTCTCAATACCCAGGAGATTA